GGTTTTTAATGTGAAGACAACAACAACAACAACATACGGTTTAATGTGAAGTCAACAACAATAACAACAACCTCCAACCTTATTGCCGCACTTTTGGCCTTTGTNACGGTTTAATGTGAAGTCAACAACAATAACAACAACCTCCAACCTTATTGCCGCACTTTTGGCCTTTGTTCCAGCCGCGGGCTACGGTAGCGACACATACAGCAGAGTTGGCCGGAGAAGCATCTGGTGAGGCTGGTTGCTGCTGCTGCTGCTGCTGCTGCTGCTGCTTGACCGGTTGGGGCAGGGTCCGCTGTTGTTGTGCTCGCTGTTGCCGACCTGCGCCCGTGTTGTCACTAATGTCAGGCGAGTTCGAGTTATTGGCAGGAGAAGGCTCCGGTGGACATCGTTCATGCTGCTGTTGTTGCTAATGCCGCTGCAGCTGCAACTGTTGCGGCTCACGCGAGACCGTCCGGAGCGGCGGCGTGACTGGTGATGCCGTGGTCGATTGTTGTCGCTGCCGCCGAGCTGCCCCTCGCGTGTTGAGACCAGAGTTGTGCGAATTCGCAGCATACAGCGGTTTGTACGATGGCCCATATCAAACTCAGCATCGTCATCCTCATCATCACTAGCCTCATTTGGGTCGATAAAAGAACCGCTGTCCTCCATGCCAAGCTCGCTGTCCTCAGTGCCAGCGTGCAAAGCAAGGGTGGATTGCTGCACGAGCGAGACGTACACTCATGTACAAGGAGGAACACCAACTGGCCCTGCCGGCAACGCAACCGCAAGCGCTACCAACAACGCCGCCCAGACAGACAGGACAGACCACGCGGCGCGTAGAGGCCTCCCCGAGAGCTCTCGGTGACCTCTGTGGATGCTTCTTGTGTTCGGGTGTGGCGGGTAGGGGAGGCGGGCGCTCGCTGGCTTGCTGCGCTAGATAACTCTTTGCGTGTAGGTTCGGGGATTGATTCCTAGCCTCGCCTCTACGACGAGACCGTCTGTTCGAGGTTTTCAAGAAAAAAAAAATATAGAATGAGCTATCGATCATCTGTCAGGAGGCCTGAAGACCCAAAAGGGTTAAAAACCGTTCCGATCACTCTCTACCCAGTCCCTTCGTATGTCCGTACTGATCCAACACTCGACGCGGTCGATTCCCGTGGTCGTAGGCTAACTTACCCTAAGAAGGTGGTTGGAGGAGAAAAGGAGTTGGGAAGATTGCTACGGGGGAAATGATTGATGAAAGGGTCTCTTTTCCCGTCAGGTCAGGGTACATTTCCGAAAACAGGGTACAGTTGTTGAGAAACCTAGTCACGTCAGGGTATACCTTGCGCCTTTTCGGACGCACCGGGGGGGGTGACATTGGGCGCTGACCAATGATGAGTGCATTTACTGCTGTGAATGACTGCTTGTGTACCCAGGTGTGTCGCTTTTCGACCAGGGTATACCCTGTTGTGTCGTTATCCCAAAAATAAATACACGCACAGAACGACTACCCATTCGAGACATACCCACAGCAGTCGAACAAGTGTGAGCTGGTTCGCCAGTGAGCCACGTATGCGACTCGAAGGGGTCTCAAAGCTTTCCGTTTTGTCTCGAAAGTACGGAAATTACGAAACTACAAAATTTCAGAGAGCGGCGAAAGTAGATTCACCTGTGCTTCACTTCTGCTGCAACATCGCAACCGGCCGCAGTCGAACTACTTGGATAGCTCTGAGACAGAGATATAAGCGTCGGTTGTTGCCAACTGTCGTACCGTCTGGTACGACCGCAACGAACGTAGGGTTAGGATGGGCAGCGCCGAAGCAAGCCTCGAAAATGCTCCCACAGCTTTCATACTGGTGATGTGCGCCGGGCTGGCGACAGGCATCGGTGCGGCCTTCGTCTTCAGTAAGAGACTGGTGAGTGTGTGCGCGCAGCGCGTGCCAGGCAACCTTCCTTGATACAATTGCCTCGATGCACACGATTGTGGCCACCAGCCGCCAGAGATCGAACCAGCATCGAAGGGACAAACGCGCATGTTTGCTGAACCAAGTTCATGCGGCGAATCATGTGTTGCTTTGTCGGCGGGGGAGGGGCCGCCGAGCCGCCGAGGAGGGGAGACAGGCTCTCACCACTGGAGCTTTATAACACGTACGACGTGTGGTCCTTGGCTGTAACATGTACAACTGGTTGCTGCAGAGCTCGGTCTAGTGCCCGCCGCTTCGGCACGTGTGCCTTGGATCCTGGCATCATCATGTATGTAAACAGCCTGCTGCTCTCGGCAGTAGTGCTGCTCTCGGCAAGACGTTGAAGTCGCAGTAGCCGGGACCACAGGCACTTACTGCGTAGTTTTGGACACATATCTTCCGCTTGTGTGACCCCTGGTGACCCCGGCTGATCATCAGGTATATACGCTGAAAGACCCATAAACCGACGCCAGAAAAGATGGACCGAACACACACAATAACACGCACACGACACATCTCGACCGGTCGGTGCGGTAGCTGTCCTTTTCGTTCATTTTGTTTTCGCTTGAGTGGTTTGTACCCTATTTTTGTTTTGTTTCTCGCTGTGTCGTATGCAAATGTGCCGGGTTTTTGCGACCACGGGCTCCCCATTTTTGTGGACTATAGAGCCAATGTGAGAAACAACAACAACAACAACAACAACAACAACAACAACAACAACAACATGACGCCCCGGTGTCCCAGGTCATGGCATATACTCTCGTTAGGCCTGGAAAAAAAAAAAGTTCCAGGCCTTCTGCCTAGCTTTCGCGGCTATCTCTCCGCGAAGCTGTTGATACCTCGACGACCACAACGTCAATTCACAAGCGGATTTCTACAGTAGATGGGCAGAAAGCAGGAGGACAACATTCGAGCTGTCTTCACCTTGAATAACTGTCCCTTTGTCCCCTGTCGATGCTGTATTTGTGGCAGTGCGAAAAAAAGTCAGCACCCAGTCTACAGCAGCAGATCTACCTACAGCAGTACGCACAGATGGAGTAGTTGAAGGCGGATATGAAAGGCTACCCGGGTATTGACGGCCACCTGGGTTACAAAACTAATATCTTGCAAACAATATCGCGGAATGCCTCTTTTGTTTTTTCCCCTTGTTGTCATGGACCTTGCCGATCGTTTAAGCCTAAGTTTGCTGCAGCTGGATAAAAACTGAGCCCTCTACAGCGTTCGGCGCCAGGGTGGCGTACGATATTCCTGCCTTACTCGGTTTATCTTTTTCCCGCCGCTAAATAAGGCCGAGTCTTACGGCTTGATAATGTCGGAGATTTTTTTTTTTCTCTCGGCCGGGGGGGGGTGGCCTGCACGGAAAAATGTTCAAGATCCAAACGACCGTCTTACGGTTCCTCGAGATATACCTGGTATTTTTTTCTGTAGGGAAAAAAGAGGCTGATTCATGTTCTTGTGGGTCACAACATGCTTCAGTTCACGGTTTTGGCTCGTGTGCGACCAACAAGGCACCGAGCGGCCTGTTTATGGGTCGCCTGCAGGGAGCATGTGCATCATCGCACGCATTCGACTGCAGTTTGTGGATGTCGTCGGCCAAAGGCCTCTCTCTGATGGCATGCGGTGTACACTGATCACACTCGACTCGGAGCAAGCAACAGAAAAGAAAGGCAACGCCCAAAAAAGGCAACACCGAACCACACCTCGGTTCACGTTTGCAGGCCGTGTGCAATCAATACTCGACAATACGCTCTGTTTGTACGCGAGCAGAGGGAATGTGTATGACCACCCGCCACTGGCTTCTGTTTGTGGATGTTGTCGGCCAAAGGCCTCTCTCTGGCATGCGTTTTTGACTGGTCGCGGGTGACACACGGAGCAAACACGCGGCGGAACAAGAAAAAAGCCCAAAAAGTCAACACCGCAACACACTTCGGTTCACGTTTGCAGGCCGTGTGCAATCAGAACTGGACAATACGCTCTGTTTCTGGTACGCGAGCAGAGGGTATGAGTATGATCACATGCCATTGGCTGCAGTTTGTGGATGTCGACGGCTTAAGGCCTCTCTCTGGCGTGCGTTTTCAACTGGTCACACATGCAGCAGGCGCAAAAACGGCTCTTTCGGCCGAAAGGCAAGAACGTCGGCAGAGAAATGTGGCAGGGTTGACGTGTTCGGCTCGTGTGCGGCCAACACCATGCAGAACGCCCTGAATATTAGATACCTGCAGAGGGTTCGTGCATGACCTCATGATATTGGCCTCTGNCTGGACAATACGCTCTGTTTCTGGTACGCGAGCAGAGGGTATGAGTATGATCACATGCCATTGGCTGCAGTTTGTGGATGTCGACGGCTTAAGGCCTCTCTCTGGCGTGCGTTTTCAACTGGTCACACATGCAGCAGGCGCAAAAACGGCTCTTTCGGCCGAAAGGCAAGAACGTCGGCAGAGAAATGTGGCAGGGTTGACGTGTTCGGCTCGTGTGCGGCCAACACCATGCAGAACGCCCTGAATATTAGATACCTGCAGAGGGTTCGTGCATGACCTCATGATATTGGCCTCTGTTTGGCCAGCAGACGGTGCAGTTCCTCGTTCTGGCACGATCGGGGTGTGACCAAGGGGTACCCCCCCCCCATTCCTAACAGCCATTTTCCAACAGGATCGCTGTTGGAAAATTGGCCAATTTGCTAGCAGGCCGGCCGGAATCGCTGTTGGAATTTGCGCTGTTGGATTTTGGGCTGGTGGAATTTGCCACAAATGGGGTCAGAAAAGGCCCCCCCCCCCCAAATCCTCCCCCCCGGTGTTTGCCATCGGGATTGGGTGTTCGTCGCTTGGCAACGGCGTTGTAAACCAAGCCATTTCACTTCGTGAACTCGGTAACCAGGTTACCGTTTGTTTTTTTACCTCTGTTTTTTGTTTTGGCGGTAACCATGATGGTGGTCGAGTAGATCATGTTGTGCGGGGTCGAGAACCCTCACTCCGCGCAAGGGGGATGATCGCACCACGTTGTGTCAAAATGGTCAAGCACCCTCGAGGCAGTTACACAGTGCTTACAACCTTCTCTGGAAGTCAAAGGACCAGAAAATCAATGAAGTCATACGCAGCTGTCATCCGTACGCNCCCCCAATCCAATCCGGAACGAATCAAGCCGTAAGACTCAGCCTAAGGAAGCTGGGAAAAAATCCTTCATAAATGCCAAAATTTCAAGAGTAAATATGGTTGTATTTACCTGAATGGATGGATGTTGATCGTGTCAAGATGACAGTCGTGGATGAAAGCCTCTGTGTCGTTACCTTTTTTTTCTCTCACATTTGTATTTTTTTTTGCTCGTTTGCCTTCGATTTTCGCCAATAATCGACCCACAACGCCTTCTGGCTACGGTACTGAGATGAAATCGACTCCATTTGCAATCAAAATTTGTACGCCGTTTATTATCGAGGTGCTGAACAAGATCCCGAAGAAAAAATGAAAAATATGCAGTTTTTAATGAGCCACAGAGCGCGAAGCGCGACATTTTTTACTCTTCATCCCCAGGAGGGAAAAAAAGGCTCTAAATATCGGGCTCTTTCAACCATCGCGCTGTAGAGTGACCCTTCCGCAAAACCCCCCGGGGAATCGTATGCATACGTAAAAATATTATCCCTATATTTGACGAGAACGAGGTCTAAAGAGCACCGATGTACAATGTGCTGGGTTGTGAGGAGGAATCTAGTTAGGGCGCTCTCCGTCACACCGGTTTCGTCGCGGTCTGACAACAGATGGCCGTGCTTGACACGCGTTTGCTACCAAAATCATCGAAACGTCCCCGGGAGTTCGACGAGAGGTAAAAGAACGCAAAAGCGGAGATCTGTACGCACACACAGTCAGTTTGATGCTCGGTTTCCAACTCGGGGGACACAGAGGAAGCACTCAGTAAGCTAAACAAACACGCAACAGCGCTGGGGGGGCAAGACCGCATTGACGAGGAAAGGGAGCCACACACACAGCTCGTGGCGGATGTCATCGCCACTGCTGTTGCTTTGGCGTGTGGGGAGAGGGATCATCGGAAAACTCGGTGTTGTTTGTTTTTGCAAGCTGTGCCAAACGCTCGCGTTTCTGAGCGTACTACAGCCTCCTCATCGGTGTTAATCTCCACACAAGACGGTGCATAAACACAGCTCGTGGCGGAAACCTTTGTTATCCCTGCTACTTTCGTGTGTCTGGAGGGGTCACCCGGAAACAACACTGCTGCTGTCCAAGGGGCAAAAATAGCAGAGGAACTTTTTTGTGCCCAGCGCCATCGATGGCGTTTTTCCAGCATACATGCACTACCGAATAGAAGTAAGTAAGAGAGATGGAAGTCATTGCCATTACAATGCAGCAGCACTACAAGTGGATTTGTGTAAGCTATGCAATACCTATGTTCATATGTGTCTGTGTCAGTGCTGTGCTGTTAGGTGCCGATCGTTGGAGGAACCACAGCTCGGAGGTACTGCTCTTTGTTGCGAGGCGAGCATATTCCTCCGCTTGATGCGGCTTGTAACATATTATTGTCAACCAACTTCCAGCAGGAGCGGGGTACAAGGTCGTGGAAGATCCGTTCGAATATTTTCGCGCAAAGTATCTACTGCTGGGTTGCTACGTTGCTGCCTGGAACGCAGAGTATCTCGTACCTATGATAGCACAGCATCGCAGATTGACTACTGCAAGGTAGTGAGTCGTCACCCGCGGCTCGTTACCCCCCCCCTATCTAGTACCCTACCAGTGCTGCGCCCAAAGTAGGCCTATTTTGCCCTGAAACAGCCAAAAAAAAACAGGGGATTATTCGTTTTTGTCCCCGGGTAAGCATGCTTTTTTTTTCAAACGCTCTCTAGTACCACCATCATTGTTTGTGCCAAAGGAGAAGTTCTGGGAAGCGGTAGAACGTGCGCAATCACTAGCACTCAAGGTATAGCCGTCAATACCCTTCGGGCCGTGTTTCCC